GCCCGCCACTGATGTAGACTATAACTATTATCTCATGGAAGTTCATGTATGCTTTGCAGGTATGTTGATGTTGACTGGATATGGGACAAAACAAGTGCTGATCCGCGATACGTATCATCTGCTGATGTTCAGTGGGCCGATGTATATACAGCTATAGAAGATCTTAGTGCTGGTAACCAAGAGCTCAAAATTGGACTCCTGAATTTTAACAGCACCGAGTATGGCTCTTGGTCGCGCATACTCCCCGAAAGCCATGTTTCGATTGTAAGACTTGAGCATGCCAAGGACAGCATTACGTGGCCTAAACTATATCCTGAATGGATAGATGAGGAGGAAGAATCTGAGATACCTTCCTGCCCATCATTTCCAGAGCCTAATGTCCGAAGAGGCGCATGGTTTGATGTTGTTGCTGTGAAACTTCCCTGTACAAGGGTGGCGGGTTGGTCGAGAGATGTTGCAAGGCTCCATTTGCAGCTCTCAGCGGCGAAACTGGCCGTGACCTCTTCAAGAGGCAACCGGAAGGTCCATGTGCTCTTTGTGACGGACTGCTTCCCCATCCCCAACCTCTTCCCCTGCAAGAACCTTGTGAAACATGAAGGCAATGCCTGGTTGTATAGGCCTGATTTGAAAGCAGTAAGGGAAAAGCTTAGGCTTCCTGTTGGATCATGCGAGCTTGCTATTCCACTTAAAGCAAAAGGTTTGTTGCTTTTTAGTCAACGTTTAGTCTACGTTTCTCATTTCCGTGCACATGTTCTTCTTTAAAACCGATTAAAATATGCACATCATGCTCTAAAAAAATGATACCCAGTACAACTATTTTCAGCAAAAATAGCATCTAATTCTGTCAGAGAAGTTCAACACATTGATTTTTTTTATACTTGTACTAAGGTCTATTCCGTAGGAATTTATATAGAATGGGGCTTGTTAGATTTTACTGCTTCCCCGAATAAGATTAAAATTCAGTTGAATGGGCCCTGTTAGATTTTACTTGTTTTCAGCATAAGATTAGAATTCAGTAGATAACATCTATTCTTACCGGTGCAGCAAGACTTTTCTCAGTCGACCGAAGAAGAGAAGCATATGCCACGATACTGCATTCAGCAAGTGAATATGTATGTGGTGCCATCACAGCAGCTCAGAGCATCAGGCAAGCAGGATCAACAAGAGACTTGGTCATCCTAGTTGATAACACCATAAGCGATCACCACCGGAGAGGCTTGGAAGCCGCAGGCTGGAAGGTCAGGATAATTGAAAGGATCAGGAACCCAAAAGCCGAGCGAGACGCCTACAACGAGTGGAACTACAGCAAGTTCAGGTTATGGCAGCTGACCGACTACGACAAGATCATATTCATAGATGCTGACCTGCTCATCCTGAGGAACGTGGACTTCCTGTTCGCGATGCCAGAGATCACCGCGACGGGCAACAACGCGACTCTCTTCAACTCCGGCGTCATGGTGATCGAGCCCTCCAACTGCACGTTCCAGCTGCTGATGGAGCACATCAACGAGATCACGTCGTACAACGGGGGCGACCAGGGGTACCTGAACGAGATATTCACATGGTGGCACCGCATCCCCAAGCACATGAACTTCCTGAAGCACTTCTGGGAGGGCGACAGCGAGGAGGCCAAGGCGAAGAAGACCCAGCTGTTCGGCGCCGACCCGCCGGGCCTCTACGTGCTCCACTACCTGGGCCTGAAGCCATGGCTGTGCTTCAGGGACTACGACTGCAACTGGAACAACTTCATGATGCGCGAGTTCGCAAGCGACGTCGCGCACAGCCGGTGGTGGAAGACGCACGACAAGATGCCCCGGAGGCTCCAGTCCTACTGCCTTCTGAGGACGAGGCAGAAGGCAGGGCTGGAGTGGGACCGGCGGCAGGCGGAGAAGGCGAACCTGGAGGACGGGCACTGGCGGCGGAACATCACCGACCCGAGGCTCAAGACCTGCTTCGAGAAGTTCTGCTTCTGGGAGAGCATGCTGTGGCACTGGGGCGAGGCCAAGAACCAGTCGAAGAGCAACCCCGCGCCGGCGACGCCTGCGACGGTGAGCTTGTCGTCGAGCTCGTGAGCTGTGTAGATAGCCCGAGATATTTATACAGAAGAAAAGCTTCATGATATGTATAGCACCGTACCTGCATAGCAGCAGCTTGTATAGGTAGCTATGCTTGGGGCCTTCCCCACACAAACACAAACCCTCCTCTGTTGCCGTCCTCCTGGCTGCGGCTCTGAGCCTTGGAGGTGGTCAACAATTCTTTTGGGTTGGTTTAGCTAATAAGTTGTCTGTGCATGTAAATTCTCTTACTAAGAACACGGAATGTTTTTTCACGACAATGAAAGCTAATGGCAGTGAAAATGTTTCCCAACCTCTGTTCCAAATTATTTTAGTTAAGTTTGCCCAAGTTCATACAAAAATATATCAACATGTTTGACATATTCCCGCACATCAACTGAATCCCATACCCAGAAATTTAACTTGGTAGTTTCGAGCAGATCATATCCCTGGGCACCAACTGATCATTATACCGTGTCCAGAATTTAACTATGTACATGTCAGTGGGAAAAAACATACGTAGGCAATACATCAATGCAAACTTTCATATATATATTTATACAATGTGTGATGTGAACTGTTAGTACATACAGACTGAAGCACGTGTTTTCACAACGTATCAATTGAATTGAAAGAAGCATACACAAAATGTGATGCTTTCTTTTCATCGACAATCTGAAGGACCGATACAAAATCTACACCTCGGAATGAATGCATCACCTTGTACAAGAGAGAAAAGAATGCAGAGGGGTCCAGTTAAACCACCTATCATACTCAGCTATTTCCAGGGCATCTGTTGCTCTTCTATAGCTGACAAAACCGAAGATGGGGGGAATGTACGTATGGGGCAAAAGAAGAAAAATGAGTCAGTCACCCTGCCATCTTTCGCCAACCTGTGGATTTCAGACATGAAGAAAGGTCAGCTCATCATCCAATAACAATGAACACGTTCAACTGCATCGGTACAATTTAATGATCAAGCTTTATACTCTTGGAGTAAATTTTCTGAAGCACTACCAAAGATACAGTCGATAAGAGTCACTTTGTCATTTGACTTCACTAGGTTATCATGGGGTTAACTACAACATTCTACACCATATGCTTTGAGTATAAGTGTGAATTCTCTGGTCATGTGACCCATTGTGGTTGTGTATAGTTGACAAATGTTTATTCATTGCATATGAAGTCACGGAAATTTTATATCACTGCAGATGCAGTGGATGGAAAAGGGTTAAACTGAACACTGTCATTATGAGAGAGCAACTTGTGATATGGATTTTTCTCTCTCTAGCGATACACACCATTTTGCTTCTAGTAGTCAGAAAAATGAAGATACACAGCATAAATGTGAACTCACCATTTGTAAAAAGGTATGAAAATACTAGTTCATTCCAAGCATCTGGAACTCCAGGGAGACACCAGTGACTGCAATCAAGTATAGTGGGAGGATAACTCCAAGCGCCAACATGAGCATCTGTTCTGAAGGCTCCCATCAAAGTTACATTTAGCACAGTAATAGGAACATTCATATTCGCCACAACATCAGCAAGTATATCCCCAAGTTCACTCTTGTCATTTCCTTTGGCCTCAGGTGAAGGCTTTTCTGTTACTTCACATATCGTCTGGTTCAAATCACTGTAACATGGGATAAGTTTTTGTTAGTTCTTAGAGAAAAGATACACCAGAGCAAGGAAAGAATTGTGAGAACAGGAGAAATGTAAGTTAATATTCTGCAAACATCATTCAACTACTTCAAATGAATTGGTGGTGTAACCAATGCAATAGAAACACAATTTGATCCTGGAACCTTAAGGAATATACAAACACAAGACTCTCAGTGAAACTGTGCAGACATGTGATGTCCCTCCTTTGTTCCAGAATAAAACATACTACCAGAACAACGAGTTCCTTCAATTGATATAATGAAGTGTATGAAATAATTTTGAATCAGGGACAGCTGTAGCTTAATATCCATTGCTAACCTTACATGTTCCCTCAAACATTAAATAAAAGAAGAAAAAGGCTATTCCTTGTACACAGAGTTGGGATTCGGGAAATCAAATTGCTATATATGCCTCGGTGGAGCTCAAAGAGCCATGTCTGATCGACATTGTATAACAGAGTGTAAATTCGAAATTGGACAGATGACATATGAAATGCATGTTTTGGTTAAATTGACAGAGATATCAGCCAAATATTTCATACCATACTAATTAAATAGGTGCAATTATCTACCTCCCTACTATTCAAGTTAGATAATATCAACTAATACGATTTTAGTTTAGATGGGTGTCATATTTAGATATTTTGGTGGTGTTTGGATGCAGATACAGATCGTCAACACCTAAATTTTATATAGATATTCCCATTCACTATCATATACTCCACCAAAATGATATGTATCCTTTTCTAACAATTACAAAAATAAATCAAAAATATTTTTCACAAAGTTTCTTATGATTAAACTGCCTGCACAGTATACTAAAACAAAATAAATTATACTGATGAAACATAAAGTAAAGTAGGCTGTACGCAAGAGAAGAACTCTCTCTGTGTATTTATAATAAAACACACCTCCAATGAGATGGCTCATATGTGCGGAAGAACACATGTGTTCGGTTTAGATCAACTCTTTTTTCCACCCAAGAAGCCCAAGTCTGCAGTGCCATCCTGAAAGCAGCATCAATGGTTGTACCTAGTTTGAGAGCACGTCCAGCCTGAAAATAGCAACCCCTGTTGGGAAGAACAAGTCAGATCAAGCTCGGACATTGATCAGACTAGGATACTCTTAAGTTTGAGTTAATTCACATATGTAGATAATGATGAATATGATTTAGAGGGGGGGAAGGGTTGTGCTAGTAGTCAATGAGTTGATATAAGAACAAGGAAATACGAACTTGGATAATTGTGTACTGGTTTTGGCCAAATATCACAAAAACTATGTAATGTACCCACTATTACCAGAGACTAGCTAACTACTAACTTGAAAAAGAAAAGTATGCCGAATGGAAGACACATAACATCCAGCAAACAGCATCTGCTAAGTCATCACCTGTTCATATTGTCAATTAGCAATGTCATTACCATTAGCCCCTGCTTAACCAATGTCACGCCTGTGCCTGTGATGAGCAGGAAGATAGGCTAGGGGCACACTGTTTCGCAGATTTATGCTCAGCTTGGCATAAAAGAAGCTAGTGAAGGACAATAAGGTAAAAATGTTGGGAACTGAAGAAGGGTGAGGGGATGGATCACAACTGATGGAACTAGCGCTAAGGTTTGTGGGAGGAACTTTATGAGGTAGATCGACTGGGAAGGGTAATGTGAAATGCATGATGGGACGGCTAATCGTAAATTTTTCCCTGTCCTATTATTTCTTGATTGGTTCTTCCACTAACACATTATGTTCCCCTCTGACTTATTCACACAAGTCATCTCATCCCAGTGTCAAATTTGCTGTGCATATTCGCACCTAAGCAGCATCTCACTGTTAGAATAGAATATGAGTATAACCATGGCATTGCTATTTTCCTCTCGTTTCCATGATTTCAGAATCATGGCATTGCTAGAATATGGAAATAATTGGCATCTCACTGTTAGAATAGGATATGAGTATAATTGATATTTTCCTCTCATTTCCATGTATACATTTGATTTGAGGTGCATAGAAACAAGAAGTTGAGTTAGGCTCAAGCTTGCGGTTGTTGTGTTGTGCTCGCTGTACTTATTTTTTAAGTTGATGAAATAGTACAAAATCCTATTAATCTGCTAAGTAGAAGTGAATAAAATGTTTTTCGTCTCAAATTTCATCTCATATGTTCAGGAATGCAGATACATATTTGTTTGCAACTTGACAGGGAAAAAAACAGGTAGCCAAACACCCAGTTACCTAAAACCAACTTAACCAAATTCGTAATCCACAGTGATGCCAAATGGATCCTTGGGAGTTTACAAATACTTAAAGTAGGTAACATCATCGAAATGGAGTTTGTATTACCTATTCATACCGTTTTTTGTGCCCAATTCAACTAATTACACACACACACACACATTAAATATGATTCTAATGACATATGAGAAAGACGAACAAGATACTTACAGTACTGAAAACACACATTTATCATGGTTAGAACTAAACGAGCATAGCAAAACAGAGCAAGAAAACTTACGTATTAAACAATTTGGTGGGAGTCCACCAGTGCCCGGTGTTGAAAATCAGAACATCGGCATTCACCCATTTCCGACTGATATTATCCATCTTGTCCAGCCTCAGAGTCGATTTGACCCTCTTGGGCGCATGCCTGGGCGCAGGGCGCTGCTCGACAAGGAACACGGACCGGAAGAATTCCACGGTGAGGTCGAAGGACGCAAACCTCACACCCAGGAACCGTATGGTCTTGCTGATCTCGTTCCCATTCACCTCGTAGACGGTCTTGGGATCCTCCACCCCGGGCATGAGAATGCAGATGAAGGACTCCCACTGCGTGCGGCTCATGGAATCCCCGACGAAGACGACACGCTTCCCCCTGAGCCGCTCGAGCGCGGCGCCGGCGGTGAACCTCGGCACGTCGCAGCGGCGCGGCCTCCACCGCCATTTGAGGTAGCCGGTGTCGTCCCTGCCGTTGGCCAGGCAGTTGAACCCCTTCTCCGCGAAGGGGCAGTCGGAGCTGTTGTAGAGCGGGTAGGCCGCGTCGGGGACCCAGTTGCCGTCGAACACGTCGCACGCCCCGAGGTCCTCCCCGACGAACCCGGCCACGGCCTGCCCCCGCCCGAGGTAGCGGAGCACGTAGAGGTAGAGCGCGCAGGAGAGCGCGAGCGCCACGGAGGCGACGCAGAAGGCGAGGGCGACCCGCTCCAGCGACGGGCCCGAGGCCCCCCACCACCTGCGCTGCGCCGCCGCGGACACCCGCGGGCTCCCGGGCAGGGCGCCGCCTCCGCCGCCGCCCCTCTGAGCGGCGCGACCCGAGCCGCCCCGGCTAGTGCTGGCGCTCACCATCTCCTGCCCGCCGCCAGATCTCCCA